CGTAATTTTTTATGATGAATTTGACTCAAAAACCTCCATCCTATGGACGTCGGCTTCTGTCTGATACCCGGGATAACAGAGTATCAACGAATTCTGGACAGGCAAATGAAGTGGACATAGGAAGAATGAGGTGAGTCCACAAGGCCGCCACAAGCAACCGACCATTCTAACGGCCACCCTACCGTACAGCTGGAAGGTACATCGTGGGAAGACGGGAGAGAGTGAGAGTGGGGAGGAGGAGGAGGAGGATATGCGCGATCTGATCATAGAATACAAATCATGCGAGTCTTCATGTTGCTTTGACAAGCGAGCTTTCACTGCGCACGTCCATTAATCCGGAGGAGTGTTCATCCAGCTGTCGTTGAGATTGTCAATCTCAATAGTGCTATTGCAGTTGGTCCTCTCAGAGGCTGCGGTACCTGTGGATGATGTGCCCAAAGGTTTCTGTTCGTCGACCACGGGAGTGTGTGAGAAGATTGGTCTCTCCGTGGGGCCCACAGAGCTCTGCTGCCGCTGTCGATATAGTGCAGCGTTCTCCGCGTTGGCTGAATGGGCGTGCGGATTTTTGGAACATATCACGTGTATGAAGCCGTTTACGTCGTGCTTCTTATTAGATCTCTCTGTCTGTCGGCACCATATTACTGTATGAAAAAGCGGAAAAGAGGAAAAACGCACCCGATTCCAAAGCAACCACGCGTGCTCCCCAATAATGATGCACTCGAAAAGGCTCAGGTTTAAGCTGTGTAGCTCTGACACCGTGATCACTACCACGTCAAGGTACTCTGCGCCATCTTCATGGAAGGCTGGGTCTCGGTGAGTATGTTGGAAACGTGCAAAAAGTAGGGTGCACATGCCACTTACCCATCTTTCTGTCACTCTTTTCTGTACCAGCATCCAATTCTGCGCTCCAATGGATGCGCATGAGAGAGTCAATCTGTGCAATGTATGGTCCTACCTCACTTGCTGAGCCCTTGTCCAATAATACCACCAACGCGCACTTTCCTCCGTGCACCCTTCTTTTAGACATGTGACCTATCAATATGGATCGGGTTTTGTTCATCTCCGCGCTATCTGCATGTCCGGTGTCGATGAGCCCCGCGAGTCTCGTGAGCAGCGCTTGAAGCTCTACATTGTCTCCACGTGCCTGAAAGTGACCCCTCAATGCATTCATGCATGTTTTGACGGATGCCATGCACTGGTACGGAGCTTCAGAAAGAATGAATATTGCAAATAATGAACTTACAAGGATTTCCATGGCACCAGGAGTCCAGTCTAATGCCTGGGTTTGGAATGCAACCTCGCCACATTGAGTGGACTTTCCACCAAGGTTGCTGGTAGGATCATGATCAACCTCAACTGGCTTTACGTCGGCCCATTGTGAGGCCTTTATCCTGGACTGAAACAGGATGGAGATGGATCAGTTCTAAGTCACAAATGATACGTCGTGCGCACCCGCATAACATTCTCAAGTAGCTCACACGCCATAGATAGCTCGCTTCCGTCTTCAGGATAATGCAGTAGTACGCGCAGCCCCTCATGAGCCGTATCAGTCTGCATGCGGCTCGCCTGTGCTTGTAAACCAGTGCGCCGCCCGACCGACAATGAATCTCCAACTCGTACACCCAAATCCTCTAGACTGATAACGTTATTTGTGTCTTCATGAGACGCACGAGATTGCATGATCTTTAAGATCGGCGACTGGGTGCACAGATGGCGCAAATGTTACAGACTTGCGAAGTAAGCGCACAGCCTCACGAAATTGATGATAGTGAGTTCAGAGCAAGTTCAGATCCAACGGCCTTATTTAGTGCGGGACGTGGAACCGCATTACTTTCTGACACATATTCAAACCGAACTCTCATGTCTCTACTCGTGAGATGGGGTGAGCCGCCTATTGTATTCACCACTCCCCCAGTATTCCAGCTTCTACATAAAATACAGTGGCTATCGCTCCCTGTCATCTGACCCTCTCAGATTCTGTTTGGGGTGGCTCTCTCTTTTCTCGACAGCTTCAAGTCAGACATGTACCACTCAACTTTTGCAACAGCCCCCCTTGCACGCGCGATCTTGTACGTGCCGACGCGTCTTGAGCTTGCTGGCTGAGACATTGAATCGTCTCGTCCCATGACCCTTTCTACACTGTTTTACTCGTCTCGTAGACGATCAAGTCTTTCGGTTGCGCGTACAACGCAGGTGGTATGATGCGCAATGATGTGTAATGCGTCCATTTCCAGTAACTGGAAAGCGTGCACCTCAATCCATCGCCCCCCGTTACCTGATCGTAACGAACCTACGATTCTTAGCCATCCATCGATTCTGGCAGCAGAGTCAGCCGACGTGTAAGCTGCATCAGTAAAGATATATGCTCGCTTAAAAATGTCCGTGTCTGTTTTTTTGGGCAAGTGCACTGGCATCCTGCCGGTGGAGTCGTCAACTTTGAGAACAGAGGTAGTGCCGCCCATGACGAGTTCAATGGCTTGCACAATAACGGTGACCTGTCATGAGTCATGTAAAAGCCGGCGCCCGAGCGTCCAATGAGTAGGTCGCAACGACCTCACCTTGCCTAGCGAAAAGCTGTCAAGCGACCAGCACTTTTGGAGTGGCATCCACTCTGCAGACCGTAGCTGCTTAATTGTGACGGGACGGACGGACGAGGATAGCTCATAGTTCTGACACGCTGTGAGACACTTCAATAAACGGCGGGTGCGAGGGATAATTACAAGATGAGGAATATTTGTTGAGACGACCATATACGAATGGCAGGGGATGGACTGCGACCTCCCTTGCCCGAGCTTGGGATATGTACCTTTTCGTCTATTGCATTGCCCGGAATGTCGTAAACGCTGATACCACAGACACGTCTGTCGCAGTTGGGGGAAGGACTGTGAAAGGAATGAACTGAGACGGTTCGATGACCATCCGGGAGTCAAACATAGCTCTGCGGCACTGCCATACACATGCAGCCGCCTTGACCTCGATCGTAATCTGATAGCTGTTAGCCAGATAATGGACCATCCCTGAGACTATCAGTTGCAAGGATACCAGATAGATAAATGATTGTTGGTGACCAGTGCAGATCAGCGCTGATGAGCAGTAATCAGCCGCCCGGGGGTGGTAAGCTCCAGACAAGAGAGATACCCGAGAATCAGTGCTGTTCAGTGCTGCTCACCCGATAGCCAGTGCCCGGTGCTGAGCAGCGCCGGGTACCGGGCCATGACTGCTGTTGACAAGGAATCGAATTGATTGCTTATGTGCCTCACATTTTCTACCGCCACAATCACGCAACAGGAGTATGGGCAAGATAAGGATTACGTGTCTAAGACATGTGTATGTACAGGAATGGCTCAACAGAGGCAATGTAGTGTACTAAAGATACTGGGAGTACTGTAAAAGCATACAAGAGAATTTACATACAAGGCGCAGCGGCGTATGTACCCCACGAGCATGCAAGACAAGCGAGAAAATGGCACTGCACTACAAGATCTTGAACTCCGTCTCAATGATAGTTCATAGTCAGAGCAACCCTGTACTGGCAGTGCCTACGCCAGCGCACAAGGTCTGCAGTATACGCTGAGCCTAGAAGTCACACAATGTGCGCAATACGAAGGGAGTGGGAGGATGGTGGTGCAGGCGCCCGATGGCTTCACGCGAGGGGGTGGTCCGTTCGGGAGGGAGGGAATATGCTGCAGAAGGCAAGAGGAGTAGCATTGGAGAAAGGGGGTGTCTTGGAGGAGAATATTACGATTGGTGCACCATAGTGGTAGAAGACGAGGGGGACTTGGTGGTTGCTGCGAGCGAGCGCGTCGTCTTATACACCGTGTAGATCGTGCACCAGCTTGCTTCGCATGGCCATCCGACTCGCTCTCACTCGCCACGTCGGCAGCAGATTGTCGACCCATTGGCTCCTTTATGCACTACCTTTTTCGTCTCACTTGTAAAATTCGGCTCAAAGGATACCGCGTACAGACCCATCCATCTCTGTCGAGTGCGTCAGTGAAAACAGGAGAATCGGGTTGCTTGGCAAGCGGTCAACGTGTCCCCGCTCGCCGACAGCGCGGTCCTGTACAATCACTTGAGTCTTCCTATAAAAGGATAACCGTGCTACCATGAGTGCTGTATTTGTACCATGCAATCTCCGGCAAACTACGACTATGCCTAGGTTACGACGGATATAACTGCGTGATAAATTATAAGGGTCGTGCGAGTCAGCTATTGTCAACGAGCATGCCAGGGTGGCCGCTCCGGAAAGCACATATGCATATTACATAGTATGAGACCAGTGAGTATTAGTCCTGCCAAGTACTGGCTACCTGCCCGCACGCGGGTGGTCATGGCTGATTACCGCCAATTCAGTCGTCAGCGGGTCGTCGGCGGTGTTCGGCCGAATGGGATTTCTGCGATTAATACAAAGATAAAGCTGGGCATCACCTTGCGCTACCTACTCACGCAAAAATAGCATCAGGCGCCGAATCGGCCTTTTCACGGTGGACTCGCTTCTACTGAACCAGGGTTTAATCTTTTGGGACTGCTTCTAGACACACTGAATTCCTAAGGAGTGTGCCACAAACGCTGATTTGCGCGAAATGGATGGCTTGCAACGTAGCTCAACTGAGAACCCGGGTGTAGATATTACGTGGGTGCGTGGATTGAAGGATTCATCATAGTGCAGACGAATTGTGTGACCCCTCCGGCGCGTCGATTAGAATGGAGATTGCAATCGATTTATATATAAGAGCGTCTCTCGTATCTACCTAGATACGATAAAGCCTCTTCGAGTTGACCCAATATCCCGGTCAAGGGACAATATTCATTGCATGACGATGCCTTGAAGACGAGACCAGAGAGCTTTATACACAAAATCGAGATACACAGTACATTTTGTTCATTTGACCGTGACATATATCCAAGTCATGACATACATCAGGCACGTAGACACACTATACGGATAGACAGAACTGCCATTCGTGATACCGCAGAACATTGACAGAGCCAAGAATTGTTTATACATCCCTGTATCCCACCTGGAGACGACGATGTCCTATGAGAGCAGTCTTGCACGACTCTTCAACATCACCGATGACTGAAAGCACAATGCGGTTTCCACGACGAGACGCCAGCTCGCATAGATGAGCGAGGGTGTCTCGTGTTAATGTAAAACCGTCGAGGATCATGTGCGTGCGTAAAGTCCCTCGACCCTGAGCAAGAGCCTTGAGCACAGCTCGGACCCCAGCAATGTCTCCGCTAAGCCTGAAGGCTGTGAGAGACCACATGCTTGACAATCCACCAACAGGATCGCGCTCGAAAGGGTGCCGTGACGGGGGCATCAGTCTAACATGCAGGCGCTTATCTACGCGCAATGGGCCTATGGCCGACAAGATGCCCGCCATGACTGACACATGCATGTCGACGTTGCTGGGATGAGAGTATGTTGTGTCCATGCTCAACTTGACACGTCGCTCCTGGGAAGTATGGCGCAAAACGCTCATGAGCGAGACGTCTACAGCGTCGATCTGAGTTTCGACGTGAAGCAGATGTGATGGAAGGAAGGTGGGCGGAGTGACCGTGTTCTGGATAGTTGCGACCAGCGCCTGCAATCCTTGCTGGATAACGCGGTCTTCGATGACCTGTACAGGTTGAATAGTACCTCCACAATGGCCGTGAAGAGATAAGCTTGTGAGTGAGGAGAGTCCGTTGGCGGAACACAATGCGAAGAGTCGATATAGGTCCGAATGGTGGATGAAAAGGGTGGCGACTTTAAGGCAAGGCAAACTCAATTGGATGTCCTTTTCCGCCGCTGTATCCAAAGCCTCCTGCATAGATCTGACGTTCAGATACATGCGTCTGAGTCTGAGAGCGTTGATGACAACAACTGCGTCCGCTGGAAGCTCGTCCACGTTCTCGATGTGTAGCTCTGAAAGCTCTGTGCAAAGAGCGAGCGAGGGTGCAGATCGCATACCGCAAAGACGAATAAAAGTGGCGCTGGGCGCTAGTAGTGTCTTCTCTTTCCATGCCACAAGGCGGTGCGTCTCGAGGTAGAGGTACCGCAAAGCCTGAAATGCGACTCCAGATGAAAAGAGCTCCTTGATGTCCCTGCATGCGCGGCTGGATAGCGATTGAATGCGGGCGAGCTGGACCAGCTGCCGATTTGAGTCAACGAGGGATAGGAGGTTGATTATGTCTCTGCTAGCCACAGCGTGGTTCACGCCATCGGCGTAGGCTGTGAGACGTGCACCACCAATGATCCGCGGGAGAACAAAGTCTTGCACAACGTCGACCAGCTTGTCAGAGAAAGGACCGACGGTAGTCCATAGCTCCGGGTTTGCGTGCACCATGGCGTGCCATCTACGGCACACTACCGCTAGCCGAAACAGGGCGCTTATGCGGCATCCCAGTGCATGGAAGACGCATCTAAATATCCAACACCAGATCTCGACCGGAAGATCAAGAGATGACCGTACACGCGGCTCTCCGGAGTCAGATTCGACAACAGTCGTGCCGCGATGAGCTTTGACAGTCGGCATAGTAGTGAAAGTTGAAAGACAAGAAGGCAAATCTCCCAATCGTTACCATCACCGCGGGCTTTCCTGATCTGGATTTGATATGAGAGTACACGTGTGTAACCTTAGGAAGGATACGCCGACGGCAGACCTTAGCGCGTGACGATGACGTAGTGGCCTTAGACCCTCCTGCAGAACTCAAGTGAAAACTTTAGCGCGTCGTTTGCCTCACCGACGTTCTTAGTTCTGATCGTCTTGGTTCCGTCAGCCATCTTCCTGTCCAGGTACACAGGACCATCAATACCACTCAACTCGTCCTCGTCCTCATCCTTGTCCACTTCGTCTGCCTCCGTAACATGGCGTCTTTTGCTTGCACGCGCTTGAGTGTCTTCTTCCGGCTTACCATCGTCGACACTTTCGTACCCGGATGATGTATGCGCAAACGCATTATAAGCGGACCCAGTCTTACGCGCTGAAGCTACCTTGGCCTCATCAAGCTTGCTGTCGCCCAATTATGCCCAGGCTGAGAGACATCTTGCTAGCCGATGCGAGATTGATCAGGGTCCAAACGCACGTTCAGAAGCGCGGGAATATGGACTTGGCACTCTTGAACTTTAGATTCGAGCATCCAAGGATAGCTGCTGGAGATTTTCCGCCATTTACGCACGCATTTTTGCTGCAGTGCCCTGTCCTTGGAGACCATCCAGCGAGACTGGAACATGCACGTGGGCACACATCGCTTTCGGTCGCGCAGCCATGGCTTACTAGTACATCACAGAGCACAATTACGCCGACCAGCAGACTCTCACCAATAACACTCAAGCTTAGTCCTCCGTGTGAGATCCTCTTTTGTTGCGGTCGTGCCGTCCCTGAAGGCTTTGAGGCCATCTGTCAATGCCGCCCATACCTTGGCCAGCTCCACTCAATTCTTTATCTGCCCTCTTTCCTCAATCATGACAAATATAGTTCTCGTGTCACGTACACTATTTGGAGTAACAGCGCGTATGCCGTGTGCTTGTTTGTCATCTCATTGGAAGTCGATCAAGCAGACGTGCTTGGCGTCATGGCTCACCGCCGTGGCTGATAACATCTGCGTCCATAATATTTGATGGTTTGGGGGTATTGCTAAAAGCTGAAATTAATGACATGACCTCGCTCGTTGATCATCGCGCTCCATAATAGCGCGAGAAAAAGTGCAAGCAGATCACTAAGAACCTGCTCGTCAGCCCAACCACCTCCTGCACAAACCTAGTCCTCCGTCGGTCTTCCGCCGCTCGCTCTTTGCGCTCTCCATAAATCTCAGCTTTATTCACGTCGGCAGCCCTGTGACTCGCACCATCGTCATCTTTGGCTCTGCGTAGCCCATACGAGTAGGTTCAACCCTCCCGTCTTCCGTACCCTGAACACGCATCCCGCTGACCACAGCCACTTTGCTTCTACCCCGCTGTGGCACATCCTCATTTGTGTCTGCAATGTACGCTGTGTGTCTTCGAAGTGCTCGCGCGGCACTTCGCTTATCTCGTCATGCAGCTCATCGTCGCGGGCTTTCAGTTGAAGCGGCTCGCGTTGGTTCTGGCGCGAACGTCATTATCAGTACTTTCAGGTCAAACTTTGAGTAGGCGTAACAACCTGCTGCCTAGTAGCTCCTGGTTTATTTCTTTCTGTCGAGCTCCGTATTTGCTCTGAGTCTCGCCCTCCGTAACTATCATAGGCACCTCAAAAAAAAGGTGTGCTCGCCATGCTGACAAGTGTTTGGTTCCAGATTTAAGGGAGATAAGGTAGATGCGACCCTCCAAGACACAAAACAAGGGCTTCAACACAAGTTGTGCGGCAGACACACGCTCATTTTGCGAGATCGAGAGACGGCGTTTATTTGAGCATCTTGCGACGGCGCAACCCCAGAACTATGTTGATATGCCATGCCATCAAGTCGCGCGTGAGCTAGTCTCGACATATCTGCCTCATCTTTCGACTTTGACTGAAGGGTAGAAGGCTCTCGGCTGTTCCGAGCTCGCTTGTTGCGCTCATGTCACCTGCAGTCGGCAAAAGCAGATGATCAAAAAAAGGCTGAATTAGGAGTTGCTACCCCCATCATCACGCTAGACAAATCCGCGCAATAAGCAGAGACTGCAGTTGAAAAATGATACAATGCATAGCCAAATGGCTCTACACAGATACATAGCGCTGAGCCAAGATCAGAGCACAACACCGTCATTCTAAGCCTAAACCGTCGTATGTGTCGCAGCCCCCATCACAACCTAATTATCCGTCGTGTCGGCTCAAGTGAAGTTACGTGCCTCTTTCAGAGCTCACTCGGTGGCCAACAGATCTTCAGTGCTACGACCGGAAGATGTGGCTATGCGGAGGCGGTGACGAACTGACATGAGTGGGACGAACTGAAAACGCATTTCAGCGCGCATGATGCACTCAGGCGTTTAGCGGCTCAGTGTGTTAGTGAGGTTTAGAGTGTCTCGGTCCTACAAGACTCGCACGGCTGTAGGACCAGAACCCTGATGATACTGATCCTAGCAGAGGGGTCAGGTATATAAACCAGTACGCGAAGAAGTGCACCCCAATACAGCCGCTTTATCTCGATTTTCCCTTGCAGCTCATCCCATCTCTTCACCCCCCTGACACAGAGAAAGTGCATCTGCCCCCTCACGTAGGTATTCTTGTCAGACCCTGCCGTCAAGCGCGGCAACTCCTTGTTCGCGCCTGCATATGAGCCAAACGACGGACCGCCATCTCGAGTCGAGCATCACCCCCCGCACTTACAGGCCTCCAGCCAATGACAGATGTGCAAACGCTAAACAATCTGGGGACGTGCTCCGATCTCAAAATATCACGGAGAAAGCGCAGAGATTCAGCCGTCTAGACATGTCAAGCGACGAAGAGGTCGAGCTTTTGCTGTGTGGACATCCCCCATCGTTCAAATTGAAAGGCCGCCACGGATGCGTGGAAGACACTGACAGCGTACGAGACACTTGAATAAATAGATCATCATATAGAGCGTTCTGGCTGATGCTCCGCAGGCGACCCAGACCATTGTCCCCCATATCAAGAACGTGGACCTAGACGGCACGAAGATTGGCACACGGGCTCGACCACACACGCGGGCCAAACAAAGCCGGCGGAACATCTGCCGGCCTTGTCACACGGCAGGAATCATAAGAGAGCTCTGCGTACCAGGCCCCCATCCAAAACAATCAAGATGCCAGCGCTGCATTGATAGAGACATTGTATGTGAGCGCATACAGAGAAAAGACCGCGGAGGAAATGCACGTCGATGTGGTCTCGACGCTTGATGTGCCAATGCGCAAGTCACAAGGCTGGACACTCTAACACATTACCACCACGTAAATTTGATCTCGCATTTTCAGAGTACCGTCTCATATCCAAGTCAGACGGCTCAGCTCACAATAACCAGCGGCAGATCAAGAAGTCTGGCATGTTCTTGAAGAGGTAGAACAGATATAGCCAGCGCGTTTCCTTTTCCAACACCCGGAGGACAGACCAGATAGCCGGAGACGTGACTCTCAACGTATATCGCTCACATTTAATTGTACGCTCTCTATGGCATGACACACGGGTCTGGATAGGTCAAGCAAGTCGCAGAACGCAATGGAATGTATAGCCGCAACGAACGCTATCAAATATTCAACGCCATAGGTTCCCGCGTGCAGCAGTAATACAGGCGGATCGCACTTTTTGGGTACGTTTCATTTGACAACGCTTAGGTGAGAAGACTGCCACATTGCCAGGCGTTTCATCAAGAGGGTCCACGACCTTTGACAATCATGGAAGAGCAATCCCACAATCAAAGTCGGCGCTTCTTTCGGCGCTTCTGCGGCGGTAACTCACTAGGACTGTAACTCCAATACGCCCCGCTTCCGGGCTCGTCTGCGGGTCGAACCTCTTTCAGAAAATCGTGGTTTGAAGAAAGTTGCTGGCGGACGGATTGCTGTTTTGACGATAGGAAATGATGATAATCAGGAACAAGTTTCAAACAACGGCACGTTTAGAGACGTGCCTTCCAGTTTGGAGATTGGTTGCTGTAACGGGGAAACTTCTCTGACACGGCGTCGTATATCTCAGAAACCGTCATTTTCCCACGGATGCTTTCCTGCAACACGTCCTGCAGAATGGAGGCCAGCGACTTTTTGGGCTCTTCACCCTCGCACAAATAGTTGCTCGACGAATCCTGATGGTCTTCCTGAGTTTCCCGCTCTTCATCTTCATCTGGATGCTTCCGCCGACGTCTGTCCGACGTGGGATTGCGAGCTGGAGCACAGCCGGGGGTCTTTTGAGAGTCAGTGCCGTCCATGATCACTGTATCTTTCTGTTTGATGCCGTGTAGGTGATGGGTTTGGTCATCATTCGGGTGTGTGTGATGCTCAGGACGCGTCGACGTCTGAGTCTTCAGCCCTTCTCCCCAATCATCCGCCTCACGGTTGTACCAGATTGCGGTACCGCCAGAGAATTGTCTCTCGAAGTGAGGGCATGTAGCGAGTAAATAACCGATAGAAAGCTAAGGAACGTTGCATCACAGTCTTAAGCCAACCAGAAAGTAGTGAGGTGCGTGCCTTCAGACAGTAGTTGCGCTCTGCCGTCCCCGAAGGTAAAGTCCGAAGTACGGCGACAGCAATCTGAGCAGTGTTGAGCATGTGCTCCGGACTTGAATCTATGGCACGTTTCACAAAAGAAATCATGTCCTTTGGTATCATCGTGTCGGGAATGTTGTCCGCCCCTCGCGACGACCGTCCTTCTTCTAGGCCATGGGCCCTGTTGTCAGACTGGTAAGGCAAAGACACGCTGCGGAACTCAGCCTCACCCGTACAGGGAGCGATTTGCATCCCTTTATCGACGATTTCCCGAGTTCTGCGCCAGAAGGCATTAGAGCACAGCGGTCGTGTAAGCTACCATGAAAAAAGACGGACCCATCTGGAATAATCTTAACATTTGCTGGGCCCGCAGTGCCTTTCGTGTACGTCGGGCGCATGACCTCCGAAAAAGGATCAGAAATGACAGCGGAATTGTATGCGACCTTCTTCAGACATCGCAGGGGTACATATATATACGTTTCCGAAGGGAATAATAAAAAGGGTTGTCATTAACGAAGACATCCAGACATGGTGTCGACCGTGTCTTAGCACGCGCCGCCTCACGTCTCATACGTCCCTCTCGACGATGTCGAGCTCTATGTACCAATGAAGGGAGCATTGCGTGTGCAGATCTGGCAGGCTTACACAGTTCCTCCGTCAGCCCCAGTATTTTTTGTATCGACGGCTCTGGTTTCAGGGCGTGCCAGTCGCTCGTTCTTATCACGAGCGCCTTCTACGCGCATGATAAATGTCTGATGCATTGACCGACTGAAGCGGTGGGTTACTGTTCACCTCTGCGTCACTTTTGCTACAACTGTGCCAGATCATTTAGGCTGCGCCCCACCTGCTCTATGCCATCCTTACACACATTGCATCACAGACATCTCCCCCGGGAGAGTCTTTGATCTCTACAATGTCTCTGTAGCAACGTTCCAAGACCATGTTTGACAATCCAGACTCAAACAAATTTCGCTCGTTCTGGCAAAGTCTGACCATAAGTGGCCCGTTCATGTCACCATGATATTAGACGACATGCCACGACATTGAGATGGGACAGAAGTCTGAACATTGGGCTTACATGGATATACGGAGGTTGTTGATTCCAGGTTTATCAATCTGCTTCACACTGCGTATGACGCGCTTGTGTCATGCGATATGTCCGTGATCCACTAAAGAGCAAAAACACCTGCTTTGCATTGCACTCAAGACACATTGAGGGGGATGACAGGGGCCACGGGAAAGCGACTCATCAATGACGTATTTTTGCGGCAGTCCCTCTGCAGCGATCTGGCGTACCCGTCACTATTGGCAAACTGTTCATGGGCAAAGACACAGATTAGAGCGAATGCTCCTGATAGTCCCTCAAGATTGCGCTGTGCGCCTGTCCTTTGCAACATACCATTATTGTGTAGCAACTCGTGTACTCGTACTTAACCGAGCCTTCTTTTGAGTAAATCTGCCCAGCGTAGTCTTTGACTTCGCCCGGATCTGTCGCACTGTAATCGTTCCTCTCTCAGGTTGACAAAGGTGCCATTGACGGTTGACTTCGCGTGTTCGAACATTATGTCTTCATAACAATGCCTCCCGCGTTAATTCACTTGGAAACACGACATGTGAGCATAATGGACAATATGATATCCACTCGAAGCTGCTCTGGTCACTGACAAATAGCAAAGGAATGTGCAGTAAGACACTACCGCAAGTCGGCGCGGTCGCCGGATGAGTCTCATATTCGCGAACATGACTCGGCTAGTCAGCTTATGCGAGACATATGCCTTCGAAGTGGTATAGCCCGCTCAGTATATCTTGTTTCACATTCAGGGCGAGGAAGTGGCGATCTGAATCGAGCGTCATGGGAACCCAGACTTTGCCAATGATCCAAGGACACGATATAGTAGTAGACGATCACAATCCGAAAGCTGCCAGAGTCCGAATTCGCTCGTCAGCTGTAGTATGTCTGGTTGAGCGTGCTTCCGTAACAGTCATATGGTCAGGCATAGCGCTCATACAAGCGCGCGACTGCGCCTATTGGGAGCCGCATTGATGAGTTGTGAGATCCTTGCGCTCGACACGTCGTACATGGCGAAAGGACTTTTGCTCTGACTATGTGAAGCAAGTCTTCTAAGAGCCATTACTGTGATTGTGCGGTGGGCATGTCTGTTTGTTGTTTTTCATAGCAAATGGTAGAGTGGAGTCAGTTTCGAGCGTGCTTCACACCGCTTTGCACGCGAGGTTCTGGATTGCATACAGAACGGCAATACTGTTCGGGACGCTGAACTGCATGTGAGGGTTTCTACCGGAGTCATTACCGAAGCCATTTAAGATCGCGAAGGTGGTCGACACGCTGGTAGCATCGCACTGTGACGAAGGGAAACGGAGAAGCACGCAAGTTCACGGATCACCCGGACACCACGTGGTCGCCATGACGAAGTCGTCTCGCGAGCAAATGTGGGACTCACCTTCACCGCTCATTCAGTACGCTATGCCAAAGAACGACAGGTAATTGTATGATCCCAGTTACTGCTGAGTACGACGCTCATTCTCTGCATCTCAGACAAAGACGGTCCTCGCGTAGGTCTCCGCGCAATCCAAATGTTAATCAGTTGCTTGCGCGCCCCGTACAGTCGACGGCTGAGTTGGCTGCTCCTTTGACGCAGGAAGATGACGATGTACTAAGAGATCTCTGGGCGGCCCTTGGAGGACAACACTCCGATGGAAATACCAGCTCTGGAAATGACAAGAAACGCGACCGCAGGCCGACTCCTAAATCCACGGTGGATGCACCACCACCAGTCATTTACGATGTGTCTAGCGACAGCGATGATGGCTCACTTCCAGAGGGATCCAAAGCTGCTGTATATGTGAGCAGCGGTGACGAAGAAGGATCCTCACACGACAAGGTGGCGCTCGCGAAGAATGATAGGTGAGACTGCCGCTGTGCTCCACAATGGGGCGCTGAAGCTGACGGAGGCTGAGACAGTTCTAGATCTTTGAGGTATACTATGTCATCGGGCTCATACAGCACGTTCTTCGACATTGGAACAAAAGAATTGAACGAAATCAAGGACGACAAATGGGTCACCGACAGCACTCTCAATATACTCATCGAGTATTCATCTTCGCTCATGTTCACAGGCGCGCGCGCTCACTCGTCTCAGCATTTCCTTGTCATCCTCCACCGTTGCCTTTCAATCCAGCCTCTTCTCCGGAACCTTGCTCAAAAAAGGGTATGTCTCACGATGCCACTCTGGAACATGAGCAACGCATGTCCGACACCGTCAATCGTCACAGAGTCAATCATGTGTTCAGACAGCTCTCAAAGACTATAGACGCATCGAGTCAGAAGTATTGGATGTGCCCTGTGTGTGAAGAGTGAGTTGCAATGAATGGACAGAGAGGACGACAGTGACACTCTCACATAGACTTCATTGGTTCGTCGCCGTCGTCCAATGGAAGCCCAGAGTCTCCATAAAAACTCTGGACCCACTGGGACTCTCACACGTTCGATTTGCAAATCTCTTACTGGAACTTGTGACTACACTGCTGGGAGAAGGCCCCGTGGAGGTTGAAGGACAAGGTTATGAAGTCTACCCCGTGAGCAACGCCTTGAACGGTTCGATGTAACCAAGCTGATTGCATATGTTTCTTTACAAGGTCAAACATCAAACAGACTCAATTAACTGCGGGGTGTGGGCGATACAGTACGCTAGGCTCGTGCTCAAACATCCAGACGCCTTCTTTTCCAATGAGGTAAGTAATACCAGTTGAGTGCTTGCGGCCTGCTTGACGAGCGCTGGACAGGGAAGTGCAAAGACCAGGCTTCGAGAACAGATGACGAGCCTCCCGCCAGCTGATGAAGCACGCAAACGGTTTCATGCGGAACTTGAGCTGCTCATGGGCGGTGACCGGGCATAAGCATTGGAACAGAGTTTTTACGGATGATTTGAACCCCACGGCCCTTAAGCGTAATGTTTCTGTGCCACAAGATTTCCATTCGCGCATATGATTCACACCCAGATGACGGTAGCCTTGCACGAGTCTCTTCCACACGGTCTCGTGGGGTGCATCCTATCGAACACACCCTTGACTGTGTCCGACACCGCTCCTCATTGACTAGTGCAAGAGCACCTGAGAGATTCTTACGCCAGGTGGCTAAAGAAAGTGAATGTGAGAGACGTACATCCAGAGACTGTATAAGTCCTCACTCGCACATTTTGCTTTACTGGAAATGGCATAACGGAAAACATTGAGCGTTTTCCTGTCGAGATAGAAGCCTACCACGAGTAAAGCTGATCGACTCAACTCCCGCCTATTACCCCGCTTAAAACCGCAAACTCTGGTGGTGCTGCGAAGTATCCAAAGCAAGAGGAGGGCGATGTTGCGACTGGGAGGCTTCATTATTGGCTCTCACACACTCGCAACAGTCATTTGAGACACGAATACAGTTGAATGACATCTGCCGCATCACACACTCTGCCATACCGGCTCTGGGCAACGTATTTATCCAGTACGTAGCGGCATGCATATCCCTCAGCGCGCGTACATACGCAAGACAATACGCCAATCTAAACCAAGGAGACTATGCTAGCATACTACTCAATAAAACTCGTCTACGCGCCATTATACAAGCCCCACACCCAAGGGAACTGCCTCCAGAGCCAGGTACTGACTCACACTGCTGATAAAACATAGGGTACCAAGTCAATCACTTCATTTCCTCCCTCAAACGATGTTCCGGCTTCTTTGACCCGACTTCTTACGAGTGCGGGCAAACAAAAGAGCGTTCCTCCTCCCGCGCTTCTAGCATCAAGGAAACTCTGTCGATGACCCATGCCCACGGCGACGTCGTCTTGACGGCATAGCCACGAGCGTCCGCATCCGCCATGGGTGCAATAATATAGCGAAAGTTTGCTCCAGGACGCAGGATGCGACTGAGAAATAGTGCGACTTCTTTTTGCTCATCCACCTGCAGCGGAGACGCATGCAGCTGTAACTGCATACCCGTAGGAAAGTGGGTAACGGTTTTCAGGTAGTTCTGTTCCTGAAGTGTTGGAGGGTACGCGTAAAGCGCAAGATGCCTTATCCGAGGGCACAACGACGATACGTGTGCCATAGACAGCAATGTCAAGTCGCACGTTGCTTTGAACCGGGGAACAGGGTTCAAAATCAGCCGGCGGAGTCCAGACAAGCGCGAGCATAGAAAGTGAACGTCATCGTTACAGATGTTCAACGGTCGGGCGTGTGCAATGCTGACGCGTTGCATATCGCGCAATGTAGTCAACGGGCGAATCGTCTCCATTGTGAGAGGCTCATTTGCCCAATCTTCAAGCCAAACCACCCCTTCTAGCTCGTCCTCGTCACACCACTCAGCCAAGGGTTCCAGAGGCCGAGTCATCAAAAGAAAGACGCTCGTCAATCGGAAGCATCGTTTGACCATGTCCTTCACGAAGAGGCGGGTGTCTGTCTCACTTTCCGACCGTACGCTGCGCACAACAATGTCGACCAAGTTTTCAGCAGGAAAGAAAATGTCTGAGAGTAGTACACTCAAATCCGGCAGACGACCGCATATCGACAATCGCCGCAAGGCGGGAAATGCGCCGTGTTGAAAGTCGGGCCGCAAGAAAGACACATCGCGTGGATCTCCGGCATTATCGACGGAGCCAGGCAACTCGGAAAATTCAATTGCCACGATTTGACTCTCGGATAATAGCTCGAGGACCGTCGACGTTAGAAAGTACGGGGGCAGCTTCAAGATAGCCAACCGTTCAAGACGCTGTGGGAGCGTGCCGATGGCATCTTCGTGGTTCGTCGCACGGTTCCCAGCTCTCTGAGAAGCCACGAGGGAGAGTGAGGTAAGAGATGGCGCGATGGCGACTATATCGTTTAGAAGGTCTGAAACGGAATATCCGTTGTTTTCCGGAGGTATGATTGTATTGATGCTTGTGAGAAGGGGAGATGAAAATAGCATGATTTGGGTGTGCAGGACATTCATATTGGCAAGGTCAACCTCCAGTAGGTTGGGGAAAAGAACCAACTGCTTTCGAACAACGGCTACGAGGGAGATAATTGACGTGAGGTTCCCTCTGCAAGCGCTTGAATTTGACAAGATCTTGCGCACGCGCCTGGCTATAGACGCAAAACGCTCCCAGTCGGCAGTCGTTGGGACGTCCTCCACAGTCTATGGGTGTCTCAGCGCGCGTTGAGCATGTAGCACACAACATATACTTGCATGTCCTATTGTATGATTGCTATTTGGAGGGCAGCTCATCGGAACTAGCACTTTGAAGAGCTGACAAGGCGTCTCCACAATCCGCCAGATAAGGTCCTTCGCCGGGCCGGCCCATGAGGTGCAGACGAGGGCAAATTTAGCTATTACTTCTCGCGTGCAGTAAGAGAATATGAGTTCGAGTAGCTCCGGTGTGCTCATAACGCGTTCGCATACTTCTTCAGTCATTCCGAACCGAGTGAGGCGTTTGTCGGTGTCTCGAAGCGCAAAGCGCGCTCTTCAAGAAAGTGTGGAGGGTGCAGCCGTTCAACCGTGAAGAGATATATATGTACAAGTCTAGGTACGCGACTGAAACACAGATACGTGACAGAAGAGGCGCTGTTCAAGGCTACGTTTTAGCCCCCAAACCACTGATGACGCTATGATCGGCATGCACGAAACACAGAGCAAAGGATCCCACACGAGTTCCTCTCGTGTGTCAGATGATTATCCGGAGCCACAGGATTCCCGCAGCCCAACTTCGATTCAGCCGGAGTTCATTAGCACCGCGGCCGCATAATCTTGCTAGTATGGACACCGCAACGCGAGCGCGCACTGGTAGTTTCGGCAGGCCGAACTCGCAAGAGCTTCATGAACCTTATGACATCACAGTGCCAGACTTGTCAGGTAATTCAGACATTGGTGAAACAACATGGTAAGGCTGGTGTTGTAGCGCCATCAGCCTGTCGGGCAGAGAAATTCGTTCCCATCTGCGGTGCGACGTACTCACAAAGCGAGCGATCGATAATATTGCAGCGGTTGTCTCTGGCTCTCTATCCGTACACGTCTGGCTGCGCAATATTGCAACACAAACGAGACTGGGCGTGTACTCTCCAAACGTCGCAGCTCATAGCCATCGATAGCTATACAAGTGAAGTGTCCGGTTACATAAAGGGGCTATTCCTTTTAATCGGCGGGACAACAGAGCAGCATGGGCTCGTAAATCAACCCGTCTTTGCGGACTGCGCAGTGTCTTCGGACGGAGTTTTCAGTGCTTTCAGTACACAATGAGGTTACGAGATTTGAAAGAAATATTAATCATATACGGCCGTGCCGTGCGTTAGATAAGGAAACTCTGGAATTCTGGTGTAAAGGGGATAGAACATATTCCCAGGATTATCAACCTGAGACACTTTCGAAGCGGCTGCGAGCTGTCTACCACCTTAACGTACGGATACGAGCTCCAGGATCAAAAAGATTATGATTTTCGTAATGGGATGTACACAAATAAGAAAGTTAGGCAAGCTGTGTCTAGCGCTTAGAGAGAGGAGAAGGGGGGGCGAGGGCGTGGAAATCTGCGAGTGCTTTTGGGATGTGCCTCCGTTCTGGACGCCGCCAATTCCCCGCCTCTTTCACGACGTGTTTCTTTCTTGCTATGTGAAAGAGAATTAACGTGGCCCCCAAATAGGAGCACCGAATCAGAGTATTATGCGAGTACTAAAGGTAGGGACGGAGGTCCAGGGTGGTGCGCCGCGACAGCAAACGCCAGTATCTATCACGCCACCGCTCATGGGGTCAGGCTCGTCAGAGGCAGCACAGGTAATGGCTTTAATAGTCTGCATCATGCACATTACGATACACGAGTGTTAGGTTTATGGGATCTGCGGAAGGCTTCGTGGTCATCATGATCACGTCAAGCATTCTTCTCTCCTCGGCCACGTTTCCAAAGATCGTCTGAAAGAGTGTGTCTCTCAGGCCCATATCGCTCAGACTCAAGTGATCGCTGCGATCATGAGTTCCAGGTCGTCAGGGGCAGTGCAGGAGCGGGACGAAGAGCAATGCGTTGTATCCTGGGTTCAAATTCAAAATCGTCCTCATGTTTGAGACCCGCATCAAACACGACGCGAGATGGAGTCAAGCCAGAACAGGGATCACTTGATCCATTCAGTCTTGGACAAGTGGGTTGGAGCAGGATCCACCATTGAAGCGCTTTCTCAAGTTGCGCCCAGTCGTACCTTGAGCCACTACGGAGGTGGCGCACATCGCGTGAGCAGCTCGCAGATCTCGCGCTAAAGTGAAGAATCAGATTCAAGACATTTCTCGGCACTGCTTTCTTCTTTGAGATGTTTCCTTCTGCGCGTTCGATCATACGTGACCGACATGTGCTCAGTCACAAATCCTCCTTTTTGGCAATCATATCCAATGATGCCGGTTCGATAACAGAAGGCCGGCGCACAAGTCCGGACTGATGCTGGGGCACCGTCAAGGCAAAGAAGACTACGAGACAGCTCACACGCCCTACGCCACTGACGATTCCGCTTGTCTCCCTCGTTGCGCACCCAGTGAGCACGGGAGCTCCAACTGGACGTTACTCGCCTCGGATCTTCTCGCTGCGACTTGATCGTCTCGTACTCTCGGCACCGATTGGACTCAGGAGTAGCAAGGCTGGATTTATGCATTCCCGGCACATGCCGTGAGCCCCAAAACGCTCGCATTTCATGCTCTAGCACGCTCCTGCAGAGATGACTTGGAGCATTCCATCCTTCGGCAGACGCTAGGGCTCTCGTCCCGTTCTGAGGGCGAACCGCCGTCTACACAACTGGATGATGCATTTCCCTACATGTCCGGTACAGCTGGAGGGCAATGGAACTCGCGAGGACGACGGTATAAATGCTCTCCAGCCAGTTTCGTGCCCTAATTAATTGCCTGAACAGAACTTCCGTCGCTACGTCTTCTCTCCGCCTCGAATATCTACCCCACCAGAAAAATCTCGGATGTTTTGCTCCTCCTTAACCGTTTTCACACGCGAGGTCATACTCTCATTTCTACTCGCAGAGTTCTGCGGGACAGGTGCCTTCGCACCGGACAGACGTCACCTCGGTGTCTTGATAGCCGCTCACTCACTCGACTCCCGTCACCGGTCCGCCAGACTTTTGAATGGCGTCTTTTCAGTTGCATGTGTAGCAATACACTTTGTTGGTGTCTTCGTCTCATACAGACACTGCACCACTTCAGGCAACCGATATCCTACCGAGAATTCAGGATACATATATCCTACGGTCCATCTATCAACCGTGCGTCAGAGCGCAACAATACCTAAGCCTCTGCGCTGTTTCTGACTAGCGCATGCAGTACATTGCAGCTAGGGCGGCAATCGCGGGTCATGAATATCTACATCGGAAGGCGTTGTCAAACAGAAAGCATACACGTCTCGCTCTGTGCGCAGTTCATTCCATCTGCATGATAGTCACGGTCGCCGTTTTTGGTGAGGAGCGCATCCTTGGAGTGTTTGTCGGTCTTACCAAGCCATTCAGCTACAGTAATATGGTTCACGAGTCCGCACCCACCATCGTCCGCCCTCTCTCAACCCTGGCTCTGTACCCTTCTCTGGGTTTTGTTGGTACTTATCGGCATTGCCACCTCGGGAACTATGACAGCGTGCATGGTCATTGCTGAGAGGTAATTGGTCATCTTTGCCACTTGTCTTCAAATAGAGACTATATGCTTCACAGACCGCAAACGGCATCTCAGCACGAGCGCGTGCGTGCCTCGAGCTTGCGCAACAAAGCCGCCACACTGGTGTATATTGACGGCATCAGGAGATGTATCATTGTGCGTCGTATCTTAGCTCTGTTTCCGATCCTGTTGTGACCTCCGAAACCGCGAATCTGTAGACCATCGCGCTCTCCATCACGATGTTATTCGCAGAAAATCAATGTCCTGCGGATCGAATGACGCCCCGCGTTCTAGTACGTTACTATCGTCAGGACTCTAGTTAGCACGCACAACTAATGTGCACGAGCGCAGATTCCCATCATCACGACTTTTTTCCAAGCACCTTCGAGAAGCGCGCCCGCGTCAGACAAGGAAAGACTGCGTCGATGCCCAGGATGCGTCGGCTCAGTACCAGGGCAGCCTAGATCTTTCCCATCACACGATGTGAGGCGAGAAGGCGACTCGCACCCCCGGGCCAAAAGACAGACGGATACTCACTACTCCGGTATGCCAAGTTATCCGAATCCTGTCGCACTCCCAACGCGGCGCTCTCATGGTCTCCAGGAGATCTTTCAGCTTGACGTATGAGGATCAGAAGTTACGGAACATTTTTGCGTGACGGAGACAATATGGCTGCCTACGAACACATGTCTACGTATCTGTCAAGCTGCTGTTTGGTCATTTGGCAGTCGTACATGCGTGCGAGCGTACCATTCGCAATCCTGTCGGTATCGCATTGAACTGTTGCTATATGTCTGGAGCAGCATACGGAATTCAAGGAGAGAGCGGTGTGTTTCATGTAAACAACGTTGTATATCTTAATTGCATGCGGCCCTGATGGATGATGCGCCTCTGATGGACCTCGCTTCCTTACGGATACATGAGAGTATTCAAAACATATGCTCTGTCACAGCTCCTGGTCAGACCAACGGAGTTATCACGACATGACGTCTCGCTAAAAGCGGGCAGCGCCAGCTTAAGGCCTATGCCAACTTTTTGGCTTCCAAAGTAGATCTGTACCATTGCAAGACTCTCTTATCGACCACAAACTGCAGGCACGCCTTTGTCATTTTTGTCATAGCGTACATTGTCAATGTGACTCACGTTCTTTTCCAAGACCCCGGTGACCTGAAGGCCAACCATTGATTTCGCGCGAGACATAGCGGCGTACGCCAGTCCTGTTCAGATGCTCATCAAATGACGCTAGCCAAGATACACGACGAGGAAGACAGACCTGAAAACCCGGCACAGAATAAATCTACCTTAAC